TTACACTCTCAATACCCTCTCTAGCTACTCTAAATCACCCTGAAGCCTAAGGAACATCCCTAACACCCGAACAAGTCCTGAAGCCTCGAAGTCCCCGAGAAAATAAAATTTTCAAGTCAAAACTCTGCCCTCGTGAAGCCCTTTTTTTTTAGAAAACATCACGGTTTCATCGAAAAAGCTTGTTTTAAGGGACGAAGTGCTGCCCAATCACTGTTTTATCAGGTGAGTGTATAGTCACTTTCATCTTACACATAGATATGAAGTATTTTATATAAAATACGTGCTATGTGTATATATATTGTTTGTTTATTTGGGATGAATGTTGAATGAATGTTTTATACATGTTTTAAATGATTTAAACGGTATATGTATTTTATATCTACAAAAATGTTGGGTAAAACATCGGTAGATGAAATAGTTGTTATGTGATAAACGATGAGTTGGATAAATGATATGATCGGTGATATAGATCATGAGATGAGGGTGAGGGATGAAATATGAGAGAAGCCCTTACCTAAATGTTGGCCCCCATCATCTAACAGAGTATGTATGACAACCATGGACTATTCTTGACGGTTTGTGGAACACTGGAAGGCTTGCAACCTGTAGGTGTTGTGAACTATATGTTTATCATATGTACTCTAAAAACCCATTGACATGTATTGCATGTGGATTCCCGTGAATAATATTGTCGATAAATGAGAGATATGGACTTAGCACATGTTGAATAAACCCTGGCAGCTATGGAATTAGTGCCTATTGTATAAACCCTAGAGACAATGTGACTTCGTGCCTATTCCTTAGGATGAATCCTTATGAATGAGTGATAGATGAATCTTAGGGTAAATCCTTAAGAGATAAAGAAGATAATGGGGATGCGTAATTTGGTTAATTGTTTGATGATAAAACATAATAACTTTATTATTGTGGGTTGAAAACCCTATTGTACTCATCGGGTTTCCCAACCTGACACACTCATGTTATTTTTATCACATGTGTCGATACGAAGCTACGTTACACTGAGAGATTAACGAAGATGTAAAATCACTAGTGTTAATGAATGTAATTTCTGTTTATGCTTATGTTTTTGTATTAATGATGACATCCCAAAGTTTTAAATTGAATAAAATACATTTCCTCAGGAAATGATTTGATAATATATTATCATGTTTTTGGGAACAAATTCCGCAACGTATTTCTTTAAAAGATACTCTGATTTTTAAAATCAAGCATAAACAAATCGGTATTTTCGGGCTGTGAAATTGGGGATGTCACATTGAATCACAAAGCTTCTTACAAGAAACCTATTAGAGATAAAGATCAACCCTATTATGTGGCTTCAAGTTTCTTCCTTTAAGCCCTAAATCATCACTCTATGCTACAAACAACACAATAGAAAACCACAAGTAAAAACACCAGAATTAAGAACAAATAGTAGATTTTGTAGATATACTTTTTTTTTGATGGATTAAGAGAATATTGTTTACCATAAGAAATTGTAGATGGTTGGTAAAAAGCATTGACATTTGAGGACTTCCTACACCAGCCATTCCATGGCCACCCCTTCATATCTGCTATATTCACTACTTCTTATGATGAATGAATTTTGTTAAATGCTACAATGATCAAACCTACAAAGATTTTTACACCCCGTTCCCAAGTTCAACTTAACGAGAGAAAAGAAAGGAAATGGGTGGAAATGAGAAGAAAATAAAAGAAATTGGTGTTCTCGAGTTTCATTAAAGGAGGGAAGTGGAGGGAAATGAGAGGATTACTTTCTCTCCTAACTTTCCTTCCGATTTGGGAGGATTTGGAAAGAAAGAACAAAATGATTCATTTTCCTTCCGCTTCTCTCCAACTCGGGAACACAAAAGAAAATTTTGTTTTCCTTTTCTTTCTCTTCTTTTCTCTCGTCACTTTCTTTTCTCTTCTCTTCTTTTCTTTTGTTAAACTCGGGAACGAGGCGTTAAAGTATGATTATAACATGATATTGACATATTGTTAGCAAGCAATTGATTATGGGCGAGGAAAAGGATTTTTCACCTATTGGAGGGCTGGTTTTCAATTCTTGTTACAAGGGTGAGATAAGTAGTGCCAACAATTTCAAGTTCCCTTTTGTTTGTGAAGTATCCTTTTCTAAGAAACCGACCCAATAGGATGACACCTAGGAACATGGTTTCCCTCTAGAATTCCTTGTTAGCTGATTGTTGCTACTTTAAAAGCATGAAATATTCGTTAAATAGGTGATCACTCTTTAATTGTACAAATACTTGAGCTATTAAGAACTTTAATGGGTTCAAAATATGATTGAAAGTGTGGATCAGACAAGATACAACAACAACACGAAAACATTTCCATACAAATGGGGGGGGGGGGATAAAATGGTCCAAAATAAAAAATGATGCAAGAGGGGTAAAATGGTCCAAAATCATTAAAGTCAATTATGAATTTGTTATGATTGTAAAAAAAAAATAATACATGTATTTTGCTTTTTAAAGAACATTGTTGATAATGGTAATAAAAGTATGAGCACTTGTGCTTCCCTATTCCAGACATACCTTTAATATGTTAGTCTCTATTCCATACGTACCTTGTTTGTTCTTGTAGGGTATGTTGCAACATGACCTTCAAACATTGTGCTTCCATCTGTCATGTAGGATGTAATGAAAAATACTACTATGAATCAAAAGCAACTTAAATTCAAAGCAAAATGACTATTTTTTTCCATATACATTTCTATAAAAGACCCAAGAAAAATCATAATTCTCTTTATATTAAACTTTAAAAAGAAACCCAAAAAAACTATAACTAAGAAAATCAACATCCAAATCAAAACAAACCAACGAATTCACCAGTTTTATTTAAGTGAATTCATGATCATGCCGGTAATCGTTATTTCTTCTCCAAATTTCAAGCTTTGTAAATTAAAATAATAGATAAAGGTAAATTTTTGGGTTTCATTTAAATCAGATATTGTTTTATAAAATTTGTGAAATGTTGCTTACTTGCGAGAACCACCAATCACGAGACCACTTGGTTAAAATATATCACCTTCCAATGTCACACCAGGGGTACTAACATGGTGATTAAATGCAACATGTGAAGAAGAAAGTTAATTTGAAATAAAAAAAAAAATTGTTACGAAATTGAGCAAAAGGAAAAGGGTACCTCTTTTTTGCAGCATCACTGGTCTTCCAAACAAAAGTTATACCAAACAGATATTCCATTGCATTATGGAGTAGATCATCATAACCTTCTAATAATATCACAAAGAAAAAAACCATCAAACAGAAAACCTCAAATTTAAATAAGAGTATGGAACTAAAAGGTTTAATTGAGCTTGGTGGTGCACCGCCACCATAACCACCACCTCCATGACTAAAGCTATGTGTCCCACCACCACCCTACAACTTCAGTTCATAACAAATCGATCACAACCTTAAAATAAATGAACCTTAAAATAAATGATTGGTTATCTTTTTGTTACAAATGTAGATCAATAATCCAAACTTTCCATGCAAGTTATCAATATCTGTTAGCTTGAAATGAATAGACATCAAGAATGTTTGAAACAAACATGTAGGTAAGAAACAGGAGTATGTCACCGGTAGGACGACATTAAATGAGAACAACATTTTCAGTGTGTTTGCAAGATATAAAAGATTGTACCTTTCCTTGCATTCATGAACAAACTATAGAAACTAACTCAATCCCTGCACCTAATCCAAGAACATTAAACATAGTAGAAATCGTCTCTCCTTTTGCATATAAGTCACTAAGATTCCCCTCTTTTGCAAATGAAGAATAAATTGCCAATCTTATTGCCCTTACAGCAACCATGGCTATTCCGTGTTAAATTACAAAAAGGTTATAAATGCAAACTCTTACAAGGAAAATGATTAAACATTAATTTAGTATTTAGTATTTACCTTTGCAAAATTTCCATAGGACTCTCATCCCAACTTTGAGCTTTGCATCGTCCTCCATGCATTAGAAATAAAAAATATAATAATTAAAATGAAAATAATAAAATAAAAACTAACTAGCCTTCTATTTATGTTGGGGTACTCGATTGCAATAAGCACGTGCAATAAACCTTTTAAACGCCTTAATTACAATGGACGAGTAAAGGCTTATGAAAGTTTGTAGTGAGCATATCCACAAAGTTCAAGGGATTGCAATCGAGTCGAGATCATATCAATATCAATTTGGAAACGACATACTCATGTTTCTATATAGAAACATAATCGAATAGAGATTATGATGAATGACCAACAATTCGACTAATGCCAATAATCACATGAAAAATACTACTATACTGGACACTGATCTTAAGATATAAACTTCAAACCCTCAAACAGATAAAATTAGGTCTCATTGCGACTCTTTAGCAATAACAAATTATGATTACATCAGTCTACATGTATTGAATGATATGTTGAGAACCAACAAAACATATGTTGAGAACCAACAAAACATTAATACCTGTAAATCATATCGAGTTTCATTAGACGGAGATCATGAATCTATTATTAATATTTAACATGAAGAATAAATTTGAACCTGCTGCACTTTATACGATGCTTTATATCAAAACATTAATATTCGTGAATCATATCGAGTGTCATTAGACAGTAACCGTGAATCTATTATTAATATTTCTCATGAAGAATAAATTTGAACCTGCAGAACTTTATATGATGCTTTATATCAGACCAACTTTATATCAGACCAAGTTTTCGGCTGATTACAGTTTTATATTTTTACTATTGTTTTATGGTAACCTGCTACCACAAAATATGATTATTTTAAAGAATAATTTCATAGAATTTGTATAAGATTCAAACTTTCTTAGATGAATTTGGTATAATTTTATTAACAAATTTAACTATATATGGGCTGAAAATGTATCATCTAATTGTTCATCAAATAATAATTAAAAATATATTTTGAAGAAAGTATAAAAGGATTATTTCTTAACTATGATCGATGAATGTGAAGTTAAATACGAAAACCTTGATGCGATTGACACTATAAAAGCAAGGAAACTAAAAATCCCCTTACCGAAAAACCCTCGTTTGACGTCCGGTCCCCGAGCTGTCACACCGCTACCAGTTCGCCACTAATCGCCTCCGCCTTCTTCGTCTCCTTCATCTTCTACTCTCAACTGACTATCACCGCGAATTACTACAACTACAATCGCCCATTCCCAAAAACACAAGCTAATCCACCAAAAGAGCACGCACTTTTCAGGATCCCTAATCCTCGATTAATTAAAATTCACCGTTGCGGTCACCATTACAGTAAATTGCTATTTGATTAATCCGGTTAGTTACCTGAACTTGTGCCGCTCATTTGGAACAGAAGATTGAATAGAGATGGATGATATCGTGCCTGAATACAAGGTAGTTTTTCACTTGATTAAAAAGTTTATGGTGTTTTTATGATCAGTATAGTCGTAATTGATGTTTACGGATGTTAATTTTGATTGATTTGCTGCGGAATGTGAATGTTATGCGGTTGAATTTTCCCTTGTGATTGATTTTCGAATAAATTACAGCTATCGGGGATATTGTTATGTTTTTTGCCCATATTGTCTGAAATCACGCAGAGACAAGTTGGTGTTCTGGGATCCCTACGGATCGTGCTCTTGAATCCCTACGGACGTGTCTGTGACTGTATATTATGTATGTATCTATGGGTGTATAAATGTCTGTCTAAGTGTGGGTAACAATCGGTGCACATTTTCCTTGCTTTGCTTAATTCTTCCATTGCCAGTATAATGCAAGATGTATAACTGTAGCACAGTGGACTATCAGTATCAATTTAGCATCCATTGTGAACAAATGGTAGAACCATAGTGCCATCTGTAAAATTTCAGGGACTAAGTTCTGTAATAGGATGTTGAGTGGGCTATCATGTGTGTGTTTCTAGTCAATCTTCATATTGATGTGATTATTTTATAAGTTTCCAAAATTAGTAACTGCATTTCCCTAGATACTCTCTAGTATTTATCTATCTTTTTGTGTTACTACTATTATTGACATTACTTTTTTTTTTTTCTGGATTGTTCTATGTTCATGTGTTTTCTTTTTTCTTTTTACAGCATTAACTCTTTTTTCTTTTCTATATACTTTTTATTTTTTAGAAAAGAATGGCACGTTTTAGAATCCAAGAACTCAAAGATGTCCTTGGCCAACTTGGTCTTGCAAGAACCGGGAGGAAGCAGGTATATCTAATTATTTATAATTTGTACCTGTTTATTATTTTATAATCTTCATTTGATTATACATTTTATAATCTTTCCCATTTCCCCCACATATTTTTCTAAAATTTATGACATGTTTACTTTAATATAGGATCTCATGGATAGGATACTGACTTTGCTTTCTGATGAAGAAGGTATATAGGAACAAGACCTCTTGTTTTCCAACCTTTTTCTTCTTCTTCTTCTTCTTCTTCTCACATTCCTCCTAATTTTGTTTCTATTATCAGATATTCATGGTCCACAAAAGAATAAACTTATCCGAAAGGAAGATGTAACAAGGATAATTGATGACATTTACAGGTAAGTTTGTTTTTCTTTTTTTTAAACACTTTTTCAAATAAGCCCACATCAATTGTTCCTACACTTATTTATATGTTTTTATTGTTACAGACAAATGCCACATACAGGGGCAACTGAACCAATAACAGGTGGACATTGTGTCTCTGATAGTAGTAGCATTACACCAAAAAAGGAGACTGTGGATCAAAAAGTTCGTTGTCCATGTGGCAGTCCTCTGAAAACAGAGTTCATGATTCAGTGTGCAGATCCACAGTGTCATGTTTTACAACACATTCCATGTGTTATCATCCCATTAGAGTCCACTGAAGAAACTCCACCTGTTTCTTCTCAACATTATTGTGAAATTTGTAGAATCAATCGGTGTGACCCGTATGTATAATCTATAATCTACCCTCTTATTTATCTGATCAATTTGGTTATTTTTTTTTTCTGTATTTTATATTGTGATAATGTTAATATTTATGTAATTGGTTTTGTTTTGAAATTTTATTTGGTCAGATTTTGGAAGAGTTTGGCTCACCCTTTATGTCCTGCAAAGCTCAGTGTCTCAAATGTTCTGGATGATGGGTAAGTTATATATTTTTGATCTTCAATACAGTGATTTTACATATTTTGCTTAAGTCTTTGAAAAATTGAACTGTTTTATTGTAATACAATATTTGTGTTTCTTAGTGAACCACAGTTACTACAGAATGTGGAAACAAGTTTCCAAATTACAAGAGCAAATGTACATTTACTTGAGAAATCAGGATACGATGTACAGGTTTGATTCTTTTATCATCTTATTACATTCTCAGATAGGTTGGATCATTTTTTTATTTTTTTATTTTATATTTTCTATTTTTTTTAAAAGTCTGTGTCACATTTCTTGAGCAGGCATGGTGCATTTTACTCAATGATAGTGTTCCATTCAGAATGCAATGGCCTCAATACCCTGATCTAAAAGTCAATGGTCTGTTAGCTTTTGTCATTATACTATTTGTTTTTTATGCTTTGTATTTATAATTTTAAATTCCAAGTTGTGGATTTTCCAGGAATTCCTGTTAAGACAATTAATAGGCCTGGATCAAAGACACTTGGAGCCAATGGTCGTGATGATGGTCCTTCAGTAAGTTATTTTATGATTGATTCTTCTGTATGGAATTAAAAATGTTTATAAAAATAAAAATGAAATGAAATTAATTTTCATTTTCTTTTCAGATTTCGGTGTTTCTGGTGGAGGGACACAACACAATATCTTTATCTGGATCTGATGGTCGACCTTTTTGCTTGGGTGTCAGATTAGTAAAACAACGTACTGTTCAACAGGTACATTCTTTTATAAAGCATAAAAAATTATCTGAATAATTATTAATTATTAAACAATATCTGAATATTAAATGAAGGTTATCAGCATGATTCCTAATGAACAAGAAGGTGAATCATTCACTGAAGCTGTTTCCCGTGTGTGTCGTTGCATTGGTGGAGGAATGGCTGCTGCAAATGATGATAGTGACAGTGATTTGGAAGTTATTGCAGATAATGTCACAATTAATCTTCGTTGCCCTGTAACTATTCTGATTAAACCATTAATTAATTTGCATAATTTAAGTAATTTAAGCTTATGTGGTGGTTTTATAGTATATATTCTTTTGTTGTTTTTTGATATGAATGGCAGATGAGTGGGTGTAGAATGAAAACTGCTGCTAGATTTAAAGGATGCATTCACCTTGGATGTTTTGATCTTCATACCCTTGTCCAAATTAACCAAAGATCTAGAAAGGTAACTGTTATTATTTTTACAATCTGTATGATGGAATGGAATGATCTATTCCATTCCCTTTCCGATTGCTTTATAATTATACCTGTAATTTGCATAAATGATACTTTGTTTTTGTTTGCAGTGGCAATGCCCTGTTTGCCTAAAGAACTACTCCTTAGAAGACATCATCATTGACCCCTATTTAAATCGTATTGTGAAATTGGTATTATTATTATTATTTTTTTTTAACTATGTTACATTCTAGAGCAAGTTACATTTTTGGTCCCTGAGTATAACTGCTTTTTTCATATTTGATACTAAAAGTTTTTCCCTTGCAGTTTTGGTCCCTGTTCCTTACTAAGGACCAAAGATATTCATTTTACTTGGAACAGTGACTAAAACTAAAGTGCTACAAGAACCTTAGATAAGGACCAAAATTGCAAAAACCAGCTATACTCAGGGACCAAAAATGTGATTTATTCAAAATTGTAATTTAATTTTTTTTTTAATAAAAGATGCAAGCTTGCGAAGAAGACGTAACCGAGATTGAAGTTAAATCCGACGGATCTTGGCGAACGAGACTGAGTCGTCCGTTTATGGATCTTGAAAGATGGCATCTTCCGGAAGGATCTTTATGTACATCTGAATTTAATAGTAATAGTAATATTAATTCAAATTCAAATATGGAAATCTCCGAAGCGAAAAGCCAACATGAAGGAAATCAGTTAGAAGAATGTGTTGCACCATATGGGCATGAAGTAATATCAATGAGTAGTGGTTCTTCTGATGATAACATGAAAGAAGATGATGATAATAATGAGATGATGGATTCCATACCATATAATCATAATTATAACCAAACATCCGGAATCACAAACAGAAGTTCTTCATCTTCAATTGGTGATCCAAGTGTGATTGTTCTTAGTGATTCAGACGAAGATGACTGCGATTTAGTTTCTGCTACAGAAGAAGATCCTATAGTAGCTCCACCTGGTATGACTTTTTTACCTTTTAAAAAAAAAGAAGTAAAATCAGTATATCTTATTTATTTATTTTTTTTAAAATATGTCGCTATATCTTTTATTTATGAAGGGTCATTGGATGTTAAAGCGGAATCTAGCCAGATGAGTAATGGGAGAGGAGGAGGGTTAGGGTTAATTGGAGGCGACCCTTTTACATTTCCTCGGCAACCTAGGACTGTAAGAAACCATCATGGGACAAAAGATGTAGCTGCAGCCGACTAAAACCAAAAGTTAATAATAATAATAATAATAATAATAATAATAATAACAATAATAGTAATTATTATTATTATTATTTAACTTATTATAATTATGCTTTACTCTTTAGATGTAGTTATAAGTGAGACAAGTGTGGTTTATAGATGATAGTGGAGAAGAAGTAGGTGGTAGGTAGGGGTGGTATAGGTTCTGGTCGGTTTTGTAAATCGAAGGTTTGATTGGCCTCTTTTCACAAATCTTCTTGTTTTTGTTTTTGTTTTTGGGTTATCAAGAAAGAGCTTTGTAAATCGTAAGTAGTATCTGTTTTGTATATATGGCGAACGGTACCCTACCTTTTTTTTTTTCCTAAAAAATATTTATTTATTTATTTATTTGTGGCTTCGTGCACATTTTGCATATTCATTTTCCATTGATGATGCTATTTGTTACAAGTTGCAACTGCTTTAAACACGAAGGGTTGTGTAATTTTGTTCATCTGAATTCAGTGGTAAATGGATTCACTGTATGTAATGTAATCGAAAGGCTATGAGGATCAGAAATGTGTAATTGCGTTTCTTCAATTTCCAATATAAATAGTCTATCCTTATAACTACCATCAATTTAGATACAACAAAACGGATAGCTTGACTAGATTGGGTAGTGGGTAAGTTGGTAATTATGTACCAATCTTATTCTAGTATCCATTTTCTTTCTTCTTTGTGCAACATATCATGTTTGAGGCTATGACACTCGGGATTAAATACCACAAAAACATGAGGTTTTTATTATGAGATAGAACTAAGGCAACAAAAAACACATGCCAAAAAGAATCGGTCCAATTTATGAGTGTTAAAGTTATATTGTTTTTTTTGCTCACCCTTACAATAGGTCCCGTTATATTTAAATCCTTTAGAAATACAATCATATAAGTGGCTCTTTAGCGCAATGATTTCTCAGTTGTAGTTGATATATATATATATATATATATATATATATATATATATATATATATATATATATATATATATATATATATATATATATATATATATATATATATATTTAATTTATCCATAATACTGAAGATTATTGTTATAAGTTGTTAATCCTTGAGCTTGTTTATGAAAAAGTTAACTTGATTTAGAAATAAGAAATAATAAAAAAAAATGTGTTTATATGCCGCAACTTTTTTTTTTTTTTTTTTTTTAAAATTTTTTTTTATCGATTATCATGTTTGACAAACTAAAAAAGTTAGGAACAATAGTCTTTTTAGGTAAGATATGGAGCAAATGCGTAACAAAAATAAATATTAGGGACCATCCGAGTTAAAAAAATAAGTTAGGAACCAAAAACACAAATTCCCCCAAACCACATGGACCATTCGTGTAATTTACATTTACTTTTTGTTTTATTCATATTTGGGTAACTATTTTTTGTGTACACGTCTATCTATGTAATGAACTTTTTGAAAATGTTCACATCTAGGATACAACATACTATAGCCGATCATAATGATCATATATGAACATTTCAAACAAATTTGTTATCTAGGATGTAACATGCTATAGCCGATCATAATGGTCATATATGAACATTTCAAACAAGTTTGTTATCTAGGATGTAACATGTTGTAGCCGGTCATAATAGTTATATGTGAAAATTTATAATAAGTTTGTTACCTAAATACATACATAGTTACCCATATGTGAACTTACTCAAAAGTTAATTACCTTCCTAAATCATTTTTCCTAAAATCATTGGAGATGGTAACAATCTTGAGTTATAATACAAATTGACCATCAAAGATAAACCAAATAAAACAATGCAAGTAGTAAAGTGATTTCTGGATGAACACTTACAAAGAGAATAAAGTGGAAATGGAACAAAATATCAAGAAGACGACTAAAACATACTTTTTCATTAACTAGGAGCTATAAATGTACTTCGAGTATAAGTAAAGGGGTAATTTACGTAATTTATGGGAAAAGTTCTGACACGCCTGCGCTAGATATACACGAGCATACAATCATCCCCGAGAACCTCTGTCATTCCTCTCCCAGAAAAAGCCGTTACAAAAATGGAGGACCAAATCATCGCCACCAGCAAAACCGTCGGCGCCGTGAAGGCTAACAACGGCGGTGGACAACAATTGCTAGAGACGACCAAATCAGAGAGACACGTATGGCTCATGAAATGTCCTCCAATTGTGTCTCGTTCACTTACGCAACAACAGCAACAACAACCGCAATTATCGACGCCTCTCGATGCCTCTTCAGCTCCAATCGGCGCCAAGGTTGTCGTCACCGTTGATCCTCTCCTCCCTAACAACGATTTCTCATCTACACAGGTACAATGCCGTTTCGTTTTGTTACACGTTGTGAAAATGTCAACCCTATAATTGTATTTGTCCTCCTGTATAATTATCAAACGTATGTTGTTTTAGTTTTGTGATCGCGATAGTGAATAAATCTAGTTTTCGATTGATTTCACTAGATCTTATCTCCGTTTATTTTAGCAGAAGTTCAATTTTGCATTTATGTATGCATGCGGCATGTAAATGAAGCGCGATGACAGTCTAGAACAATAAATTCATGTTAATCTATAATCCTCAATGTTGCTGAATGATATCTGGATTTTACAAACGGTTCTTATATGCGTTTATTCTTCTTAATGATTTATAGCAATTTGTGCCTCGTATCAATCAAAGATCTCGGGAGCTTGTTACTTCATTTCCTTCTAATTAATGCAATTCTAACATGATATGATCAGTTTACTATGGAGTTGCTTGGCACTGAATCTGGGAGAGTACCCAAATGTTACTCCATGGACATGTCAACAGATTTTATTCCAATGTCTGTATTTTCCGAATCCAAACAAGGTAAAAGCATTAGCATTCTTCAACTTTTTGTATACAACTATCAATCAAGACATTGTTTCTGGGACAACAATGGTAATGACTAATGCGACACTTGTGGATTTCAGGAAGGCTTTCTGTTGAAGGGAAAATATATCATAAATTTGACATGAAACCTCATAATGAGAACATAGAGGAGTATGGGAAGCTCTGTCGTGAAAGAACAAATAAGTATATGACTAAAACTCGACAAATACAGGTCTCTTTACTATTTCTTTTCTTTTCCCAAATGAAAAGTAAATCAAAACAAAAATTTAGAAATTTCTTATCATTCTTCTTTCTTGTTTCAGGTTATTGACAACGATAATGGAGCACATATGAGACCCATGCCAGGGCTTATTGCCTTCAGACCCCCCTCACAAACTGTAATCAATGCTGCTTTTTCTCTGTCTTAATTAATTATTATGTTTTTAGAAGACTTGTTTCTTTTTAGTCTTTTTTTATAGTTTATACTGAGTTTCTGTATTAATTCTGCCATTTTTACAGCAGAGGAAGAAAGCTCCAGTGAAAGGATCAGATACAAAAAGAACAAGAAGGGATCGTGGAGAGATGGAAGACATTATGTTTAAGTTATTTGAGAGACAATCCAATTGGACATTAAAGCAGCTTATTTCTGAAACAGATCAACCTGAAGTATGTTGTTACCTTAATTTCATATTCCTTTTTTTCAATATATTTAATAAGAAGCTAAAAAATCATGAAAATGTGTTGTTTTTGTTTTCAGCAATTCTTGAAAGATATGCTTAAGGATTTGTGTATCTATAACAACAAAGGATCAAACCAAGGGACTTATGAACTGAAGCCAGAATACAAGAGAACCACAGAGGAACAAGAACCTTCATCAAAATAGCTCTTTTTTTTATTGTTCTTGTGAAAAATATTAAATTCCCATTACTTTTCATTTAGTTGAGTTTTGGTGCCACGTCAACAAAGTAAAAAACTTAACAAACATTCATTGTAGTAGAACTTTTTGGTTGTGTTTCATTACTTTGGATTAACAAACATTCGTGCTTGTGAAATAGATCAAACATTGTTGGAAATACTTGTAAAAAACGTAATACTATCTTTCAACTGAATTTAAGAGCTTATTTAAATAAGTAAGATTAGGTTTAATTAATGAGTTTATTTTAGTTAAACATTTTGACAAGTAAAAGGGCAGTAGAGTTTGTTAACATCCTTTAGTACTAAATTAAGTCACAATTTGACTAAAATGTTAGTCCAAGTTTAATACACAAGTCAACATTGAATGTACTTTGACATTGGATGTTTTTAGTTTTTACTATTTATCTTTCCGTTTACATATTCATTATATGCTTTTTTTTTTTTTTCAAACACCAACTTTTTGTCACTTTCGTGCCAAAGTTCAATCTCACATTATCCTTAAGGAAACAAACCCTACTAACATTATATTATTTATCTTGTGTGCAACTCTTAAAATCTTTATGGAAACATGTAAAAAGATTATTGTAATGGCCAAAAATTATTTTATTCTTTTTATTTGTTGGTTTGAGAAACTAATATTCAATATTCATACACAAAACTAGCACTAAATTTAGTAAACCATAGACAACCTAATGTTTTAAAAATGTTTATAGTTTCAAACTTGTTCTAATGCGTTTCAGAATTTGTTTTTGTTTGTATAAACAATAGAATTTCACTACATAGAAAATGATTACTTCATTAGTGCTATCCATTCGGAAAAATAATAATTCATAACCTTATTGGATATACTTTTTTTATAGTTTCAAAATACACAGGGAGAACACTATATGTTGTGCATACCATATATGAAAGTTTTTACCATTTTATATAGGGCACCAGCAATCATGAAACTCGCAAACAATTAATTGCCAAAATGTTGGTAGTTATATTGGCAATTTTAAAAAAGATGGCTAAATTATTATATGTAATTTAAAATAATGGCTATTTTGATGTTAGTATATATAAATAAAATTTAGTATGTGTAAATAAAGGTTAATATACAAAAATAAACACTAGTATAAAATATAAAAATTTATTAATAATCAATACCTTTTCTAACCAACTTTTAGTTGAACCCGCTAGATAGTTGGTTAAAATATTATATTGTTAACACATGTGATATTATGATTAAAATATTACGACCATATTTATAATACCACTCATGCTACCATAAACATATAAACAATAAATAAATATCGAGTCAGAACGCCATTAAAGATTGCAACTTTGAGAATGCGTTTCAGTCGAAAAATGTCAAAGGAAGGCAGCAACAAAATCAACAAAGAAAGAATGGGTCTCGTCGTCGTTTTATATTCAGCCCCCAAGCTTTGACCAAGTGCGTGTGTACATCACGCTGTCGTTTTGGGGGTCTTCGAGAGTGTGGAAGTGGAACGCATATTACCCCCCTTTCCCTCCTTTGTATTCAACGCATCTTCTTCCCTTCATTACTCTCCTTCAACATTTTTTGATTCTTTCATCTGTTTTCTTCATCACATATTAAACTCGTTGATTTCCCTCAATCAATCTTCCCACATCACCATCTTCTAAAGGTATGACGGAATTACGCTTTTTATTTTCCCCTTTTGAATGCTTGATTTTGATTGTGTGATTCGTTTGAATTTAAGTCTCAGATTGAATTGTTGATGGGTTTTTGCTCAAATTGAGAATTAGGGTCGATTAAACTTTGTATTGGTGGTTTTTTTTAAAGCATTTTCTGTTCGTTTTAAGGAATTTGAGAATTAATTAATTCACTACTGTGTTCTTAGGTTCCGAAGGTCAAAATTCTATTCGCCAAAATGATGTATTTTTTTACAATGTTTCTCTTTATAGTAATAATTGCATCTTTTTATTTAGCTAGGGAGTATGGTAGAAAGTGAAACATATTCATTAATTCACATCATTATGTAGAAAGTGAAACATATTCATTAATTCACTAACAGTTTGAGATCACAACATTATGATGTTTATTTATATTTTCTTTTCTCTTGCAGATCAAATTGCCATAAAAAAATGAATTTTTTTGGTAGGAATATGACCGAGGATTCATCAACTTCTCAACGAGACATTCTTAGCTGCCCATTTTTGCATAACATCAACGAACCGACTAATTTCTCATTTTCATCTTCCGTGGCTATCCCATTACCGGTAATTTAATATTTTTCTTATAATTGTTATTATTATAATTCAATGACTAAATCGATTAAAAAACAATAGTTCAATGATATGTTGAAAATACATTGTGTTTTTCTGTATTTTGCATAGAATCAAAAAATGGTTAAATCATTACAAAAAACAATTATTATATTGATATGGAAAATTGGAAAGTTTGTTTTTGTTGTTAAAACCATCCTCATAGTTTCTTTTATTGTGATTAGGCCCGAGGAAGGGGAGCAACAAAAGGTCCTATATTTGAAGATGGTCCTAATTTTGATAGAGCATTTAAGGTTTTCCATGGCCAAAACGGTGTGGTTCCACTTTCTGATTCCGAACCATCATCACATGGGTCCGAACCGGTTCCACAACGGTTCAACCCGTTAGCGGCTAAAGCGGCTACAATTAGTCTCTCAGGGTTTGGTGGGGCCTTTGGTTTTGATGCATTTAACGAGATGTTCAAAAGTCAACAAAGAAAACATAAACCATCCAACAAAAAAAAGTCTTCAAAGGTACATTTTTCACTTTTCCCAAAAAAACACAACATACTTTTTCAAACATATATAAACATAAAAAGATCTAACATGCCTTCTTATAATATTTATTTTTGTTTTTCAGAACAAAGACTCGAATCATGAAGCAATGGGTGAAGAATGGCTACAAAATGGGAATTGCCCGATAGCAAAATCGTATAGATCAGTGATTAACATCCTACCAATCATGGCCAAGGCACTTAAACCACCATCAGGGATAAACTACAGGTGCCCGCCGGTCATTGTGGCGGCCCGGGCAGCTCTAGCTAAAACCGCGTTTGCAAAAAACCTCCGGCCACAACCGCTGCCCGAAAAAGTATTGGTGATTGGAGTTATGGGCATGGCTGCTAATGTTCCATTAGGGATATGGAGAGAACATACCAAGAAATTTTCACCTTCTTGGTTTGCAGCTGTTCATGCAGCTGTTCCATTTATTGCCATGCTTAGAAAGTCGGTTTTGATGCCTAAATCAGCCATGGCGTTTACTATAGCGGCTTCTGTTTTAGGTCAAGTGATCGGGTCTAGGGCTGAACGGTATCGCTTGAAGGCGATAGACGGTAGGGATGGGCGGTGTGGGGAGACGGTCGAGTGGGAATCTGCAACTATGCAGGTCACTGGACCTGCAGTAGTAGCCTGAGTCTAGTTGTCCAATTCCAGCATTGGACAACTGGAGTCATCTGTTATTGGATGAATGGATTTTTTTTTTTTTTTTTTTTTTTTTTTTTTTTTGTTAAGAGGGTTGGAAATATTAATCTTTTGTAAGACTGTATTATAAGTTTTGGAGGGGGTTATTATTGTAAACTAAATATCGGAGGTGATTGGAATTATCATTTGTTGTATTGACTTAAGTTGTATTTAAGCTAATAAAATGATTCTTTGAATGAACGCTTTATTGTAAGAGGTTTAATTTTATTTTAATTTAAGTTGTTTTTACAATAAAAGGCTCCAATATCAGTCTTACACTCATCTTGTGAGGTAAATCAAATACTAACGGTTAGCAAGAAACTCCAAAGACAACGGAAGTTACAATTGGCGAAACCTCCACTTGGGCTTAAACAAAGAGGGTGTTTGGACGTGCTTCTTGAAGTGACTTATTGGCTTTTCCAAAAAGCCAATAAGTTTAAAAAAAATGTTTGATAAGGGTAAAAGTGCTTTTTTAAATGACTTTTTGTGAAGGGTTAAAAAGCTCAAAATGAAAAGTAATGGGCAAGTGACTTCTTAAATGGATGTTTGGTTTTTTGGCATTCAAATTATATTTGTGCCTTTAATAACCCTTAAAAGAAAACGGGTCTTCCTCACATCGACGTATGCATATCCTCCTGTTTACATCGATGCATGCCAGAAGCACAAAACCTCTTCTTTCTCGTTCTTGAAACGATCACGACAAGCTTCTCCCGTTTTTCTCCAGCGATTTCCCACATTGGCGATCGAATGAAAGTTTAACTAACGCCACTCATCATTATGAAATACCATTGAACGAACTTTTTAAAGTATGGAAAACTAAGTGGATGTTATTAAGAGACATGCATGCTAATTATAGATACGAGCATCAAATGAGTATTTTGATAGCATCAATGATGATCCATAACTATATTAGAAAGGCTGATAGGTTTGATGAAACATTTAATATGACACAACAAGAATCCTACAATCCTACACAAGGTGGTACTAGTAGTGAAGGTCATGAAGAAGGTTTAACTACACGTCGTATGAGTAATGATGATTTGTATATCGCACTGATACAAGATGTTATTGTACAAGATCTAATGGAATCGCAACGATGAATGTAATACGACACATCTCCTTGTTCTCTGATGTCGATGCCAAATATGAAGATAATGAGGGGAAGTGTTTTGCCCTCTACCACCCTAGTTCATCCTACCTCCCAAATTTGCTCATCACGTTGTCAATAGGTCATTTCTAGACTATGGTAGCTTACTGAAGACGATGATGGTGATGGTGGTTGACGGATGTGTTTAGAGACGATGGTTTGCATAGGGAGAGTTCTAGGATATATGTGGGGTAGGATAGGTAGGACCTATGTGCTTATTAATTAAAGGGCAAGTCGCTCGTTCATGTGCCAAAACACAAATTTGGTACTTATTTTCAAAAATTAACGCCGACCGTCCTTTATATCGTAAAAAGGTGCACGCTTCGTCACTGTAAACATAAAATGACTATATTGCCTTTTTTTTTTTTTTTCCTTTTATTTAATTTTCAGGTTTATTTATAATTTTTAGATTAAAACAAAACAAATCACATCACCCACACCCAACCCACCCTCCTCCTTTTCTTTACATTTTCATTTTTCTTTCTACATTATCTGAAACTAGCACCACCAGAACTATTGTCTACCACCGGAAACCATAGTCCACCACTATCGGAACCCACCAGATAGCATCACTTTTCTCCTTCCCCCCTTCTCAGTCTTTTTCTATTTCATATCCTCTCTCTAAACTATGTCACCACCCTCTCTTCCTTATCCTCTTTCTCAAATTTGATAGTGGAGCTCGATCTGAAACCTGTGGTGGCTGTTCGGAAACCTAGCGACGAAGATCTTAGATCTGAGACCCTAGGTGGCAGTGGCCTTCACGATCAAGTAAGCAGAGTAGTTCCTGACGGTGGCTTTCACGATCCATACCCTTTGACGATGTAGTTGATGATCTTAAACTGCTAATTCGAAACCCTGGACAAAGATCTTAGAGGCAGTGATTCTGAAACCCCAAACGACGTCGATGGCGACACACATTTGACGAAACCCTAGCCAATGGAAAATGTGTTTGGCATACCTGGTGCCCTTTGTCGGAAAGATACTCGTCGCCCCTTCTGGTCAAACATCTTCTTTGTTGTCGCCACCTGTAAGCCCCCTCAATCGCTGAAAAGCTCTCGACCGATCTTTGTTTTTTGTCTACAAATTTCGTTTTTTTGTTTGTGTGTGTGTATGTTTCATACTAAGAGAGAGAGAGAGAGAGAGAGAGAGAGAGAGAGAGAGAGAGAGAGAGAGAGAGAGAGAGAGAGAGAGAGAGAGAGAGAGAGAGAGTTATGGTTCGTCGATAGTCCGATGACTCTCTTCTCTGGCAAGATAGTGTCTTCTTCGGTGGTGGTTTGTTGGTGGCTCAAGGGAAAAGTGAGTTTAAAGGGAAGGGGTTAGGATAAGGTGGGTAAGATGTTTTTTTTTTTTTTTTTTGTACGTTATAAATAATTATAAGAAGAAAAAAAATAAATCAAAATAATAATAAAAAGGGGTTATAAATTTAAACTAACGAAGGATAATATATGAAACTTTTAACCAATCGAAGGACAATCTAAATTAATTTTTGAAAATAAGCACTTAAAATAAACATAATAAGAAGACAAAATGATAGATCCTAAAGAGGGACATTTTGTTAATTTCACACATATCTAACGGACATATCTAATGGAGCATCTTAGAAGGTAACCATAAAGATGAGCCATTTCAATAATTTCAAAGGTAAACTACAACTGCAGATGAGTATAAACTATAAGGACTATAATTGTAATTTACGTTTAAACAATTAATGTTTGTTTTTGACACGAAAGTTTTGATTGTTTGGCATAATATGTCTCCGAACAATGAAGATACACCCGACAGTCCATCTCCGGCGACGTTTGGAAAGCCTTGGCCAGAGTTCAACGACGGCCTTACCTATCGTGACCTTGTCCGATCACCTGATTCCGGTCCTTCTCCCCCTTTCTAAGCATATGCACACGCACGATTCTCTAATTGCACAGAAAACGAATGAAGATGGTTTAAAACTCTAACCTTAAATTGTGCAGGTTTGACGTTGATTGACTTTTACTCTATCAAGCATCAGAGTTCAGCTCCTTTACTAGGGTAAGTTTGTATTACGAATAATTAAATAAAACATTACTTAAAATGTTGTCGAGTCTCATAAGATCGCTAGCTACATTACATCGATGTAGGTAAATCTGTGCTTTCTCTAAACAAATTTGTTCAATAACAATCGAAAACCTCAACTGTTAGCGTATAAAAGTTCAGACTCGATGAGCGAATGATTTCTTCAGTCTTTTTTTGGTTTCAAATTAGGGTTTTACTATAGGATTTTAACGATTTCGCTCAATAAGATTCAGTTTTAATCGCAAACCCGAGGTGTGTCTTACTTCTTCATAGTACTAAACATTCAACAGTTGGTTGCAGAGAATCGAAAATGGGCAGATCACAGTTAATGGTACAGTTATCACTGATCCAAAGACTGTTCTGAGGTTACCCTTCCACCTATCAAGATTTTGTTTCATTTTAGCCAATAAATTTATTTCTTCACTTATTCTGAGTTCTGGCATTTTGTATTTGATAGGATTGGTAGGGAACTAGTATATCACAGACATCCATGGAAAGAACCATATGCACCACACTTGCTTGAAGTTCTGTTTGAAGATGATCATTTGGTAGTTTGATCAAAAACTTGTGTTTGTTAATCATTCAAATTTGTTTATTATTGTTTTATTTAAATACTGATTTGGATGTTTATTCATTGTATTCAGATTGCTCTAAATAAACCCTCTGGTTTACAAGTTTTACCTGGTGGACAATTTCAACTAAGAACTGTTCTCACACAGCTTCAATGGCATATGAAGAATCAAGAATCATGTCCTGTTCCAGTTCATAGGCTTGGAAGAGGAACTTCAGGTAACACTTTTTAATGAACAATTGTTTATGATTTAGATAATAATATAATATTTCTTTTTTTTCATAATCTTCTCTATGACAGGAATATTACTTTGTGCAAAAACAAAGCTTGCAAAAACTAAGCTTGCAGCTCTTTTTGCTGAAAAAACATCACAGGTTGTTGGTAACAGGTTAGCAAATAAAAATCTTATGTTTTGGAAAATTAATAATTAATAATTTCATTAGCCTTGCTAATATAATCTTTATGTGAGCAGAAAAGTCAACAATGAGGTCAACAAGGTAGTGAAAATGTCAAAGATATACAGGGCACTAGTTTGTGGAATTATAAATGATGATGAGGTGAATCTCTTCTACATATTTCCTTTTATGACATGTAACTTTTTTATTTTTTTTGCTAAAATCTTGAAATGTATTATTACAATATAAACACATTGTGTTACACAGATTGTCATTGAAGAACCAATTGGAACATTGAAATATCCTGGAGTTGCTAAAGGGTTATATGTTGCTTCTTCTTCAGGTTTTCTCACTTTATAATTATATTTCTGTGGTTATAAATGTAATTTTTTTTTAAAATTTTTATTATGTCTGTTTTTTAAACAGGGAAGCCAGCATTGAGCAGAGTTCATGTTTTGAAAAGAGATGTAAAAAATAACCACACAGTTGTTCAGGTAATAAGATTTAAAGATGTATATGAATTATGCTCATGAATTGTATTTATATATATTTTTTATGTAAATGTTAAATTTCATGGTTGTGTTTTTTTTGGAATGTGAGTAGGTGGAGATTCAATCTGGTAGGCCCCACCAGATCCGAATTCACCTTTCGTTCATTGGACATCCTTTGCTAGGTAAACAAATCATTTGATTAAAAAAAAGTAAATTTCATTTTTATATTTTTTTAAAGAAAAAAAAATGAAAAAAAGGTTTCAAAAGAAGTAAATTGTGAGCACATAATAATATTGGCAGGTGATCCACTTTATGTTAATGGTGGGATACCAAAGTGTTATGCTCCTGAAACTGTTGATGAAACATTTGCTGAAGATGGGTAACATATTTCTTTTTATTATCTTCATCTTCATTTATATAAATATTTTAGATTATTTAAAAAAAAAATGTATTTTTAGAGGGTATAACAAGCCTTCAAATCCTGTTCCTGGAGATTGTGGTTACTACTTGCATGCTCATCAGTTAATTCTTTGTCATCCAATCACAAATGAGGTATTATGTTATGAGATTTTTCATTATGAGTATGATGCAATATTTTTTATTAAGTATTTCTATATAATATATCTAAATCTTTAATGTATTTGTGTAGCTTGTTTAAATAGTTTGATTTAAGATTCTGTTTGCTTGCAGTTGTGTAAAATAACAGCTCCACTACCACCCGTTTTCTTAGGTGAATCAACAAATCAGGAGTGATCATATCGAGTTGACTAGAAGTAGATAACATTTTCTTGTCATATTTAAAATATGTTACAATAGTTTATTTGTTAATTATGATGTTAGTTCTTGATCTTTTAGAAGCTCAAGAGTGCATGAATTATGCATACGGGTTAATGTTGTAAATGAGTAACATACTATTTGTGGATTTTGTTCTTCTATAAAACATTGAAAACATTAGTGCTCAAAAAACACTATGACTCTATAAGATAAGAAACATTTCAAAAAATAAAAGCTAAAAGTTTAGGCTTGTAAAAACTCTTTAAAACTTGTTTCTAAAAACGTACTCTATTTTTTGAGAAATCTTACCTTAATCAGATTCACATGCTTGAAAAATCAAAGTGATAATTAGGAAAAAACATCATAAATGGTTTATGTGATTTCTTCAGATCAGAAGTTTAGTTTTCGTGGTTTAAAAAACATAGATGGTTTGTGCTTTTAAAACTTTTGACAATTAGTCTTTTTTGTTAGCTTCATTAAGTTTTATCTGTTAACTAAACGATATTTTCGTCATTTCATTAACACAGGGACCATTTATGATGTTTTCACTTATTTTTTTAATAAATGAAAGAGTAAATTACACGAATGGTCCCTATGGTTTAGGGTAATTTGCACGTTTGGTCCCTAACTTATTTTTTTAACTCGGAAGGTACCTACTGTTTGTTTTTGTTACACGCTTGGTCCCTATCTTACCTAAAAAGACTATTTTGCCCTTGATTTTTTAATTTATTTAAATAAACACACTCCCAACC